GAATTGGCCATATATGGTTCTGATAATGTCATCACATCCATATATGGGTGTGATAGTTTCATATATCGATATGTACTGAGAAATCGAAGGTATTTTGTCACATTAAGAACCAAGTTGTATGTGACAAATTTTTTTGAATTGCCCATATATGGTCATGATGACATCATATCACATCCATATATGGGTGTGATAGTTTCATATATGGATATGTACTGAGAAATTGAAGGTATTTTGTCACATTAAGAACCAAGTTGTATGTGACAAATTTTTGTAAATTGCCCGTATATGGTCATGATGACATCATATCACATCCATATATGGGTGTGATAGTTTCATATATGGATATGTACTGAGAAATTGAAGGTATTTTGTCACATTAAGAACCAAGTTGTATGTTACAAATTTTTGTGAATTTCCCATATTTGTCCATGATGATGTCATATCACATAGTTCCATTTATGACTATATACGAAGAGATCACAGCTATTTTGTCACATTAACTACCAAGCTTTTTGTGACAATTTTTTATGAATTGCACATATGTAGTTATGATGATGTCATATCACTTCCATATATGTGTGTGATAGTTTCATATATGGAGAAATCACTCATGCATATTTTGTCACATTAAATTTGATAGTGTAGATATAGTGCACATGTAAAAAACTAACAATATTTAGCACAGATTGTTATAGTAAAACTAACAATTTTGGTAAATTCATTGAATAGAAAATGCAGATAAAAACTAAAATTCTCAGTGATATACTGTTTTATTCTACGGTTAAAGTAAGCCCTAGGTTTAGTTAAGATACCAGTGAACAGATACTGTGTGGAAAGCTTAGTAGTTGACAATACATGGTCATGTCACAACCTCCTTAACTTCAATATTATTACTATTTAACCACCAAGAATAATTTTTCGGCACTGGTTGCCAATTCATAGTATTGTGTGTGTTTTGCACTTGCTTATTATTAGAAGGTGTTTAATTACATCAGATGTGATTAAGATAACCCAGCCATTTCATAAGGAATTTATACAGCAAATAATTGACTAACAATTAATTATTTAGGAATAATTACGGTTCTTTGGATGTTGCAGATCACAATGTATCATCATTTTTGTCTCGGTGTTTGTGTAGACGGTGACTTTTCGCTTTTAGCGTGCCAAAGAGTGTATCATAGATTTAAAAATAGTCTTGTACATTAAAAATTGTTTTATTTATGCCTATGTGTGGTAAATGGCCTCAAGAGGGCGCTTTTTTACATTCAAACTCATTTATATTTTTTCTCTTTTCTTAGGTAAAGCAAATTCAACCTATGTATTAAAGAATAGTTTGTATCCATTTTGTATAGTAATGAATTCAAATTCAGTTAATGTGTAGTGATAATGTCAAGTGTGTCAGAACATGAATGGCACTACACAATGATGTATAACATTTTAACTACATTAAAACGATTAGTTAAAGAAATGTGTTATGTTACATTCACAAGTATTATTAAAACAACCTTTAAGTTGTGTATTTTGTGATAAGTATAATATGAGTTACACCTTGATTCATAATAATTAACAATATTTTTGCTTAATGTCCTCATTGTAAAGTTCTTTCCAGATTGTCAAATTATCTTTAACAAAAAAGAAACCTGGTGTATGCCCATATATAGTCATATGCGCCTGTATGTGATGTCATCTTGACCATATTTGGGCATGTTACATTTTTTTGTCAAACGCAATTTGATGGTCTGGAAACCGAAGTCTTTAATATTAAAACGATTTTTTTTGCAAGTTTGTCCCATCCTCACCAAGAGACAATTACGAACATCATTTTTGTGTGTGTGTATCATCGCGTAACACAAAGCTATTTCACATAGTCCAGCTACATGTTTCTCAGGTGTATTCTTTGTGAAGAATGGCGTTACTTGTTAAAACACAGTATCTAATGTACAGGTGAAGCTTTCAAAAACCACATAATTTTTGGGTCGCTGGTTTAGACATTTATTTGCGTGAAAATGTACAAATAATATAAAAGAGTAGGTAAAAAACGTTGAATTTTTTATAATAAAGTTATTAATGCTCTGAGTAAGTATAAACATGTTTTCAGTTTATAGAAGTGGGTGCTACATATCGTCGTTCACATCACGAACTAACACAATCAAAGTAGATTGTGTTAGTTCGTGAAATCACAGTAGTGCGTCAAAACGAGCGCGTATTGGTTGTCAAGCAATTTTGTATTCTTTACCACACAAAAAGTCCTTAACAACAACAGCACATATTTTGACGCGCTTTCTTGATTTCACGAACTAACAAAATCTACTTTGATTGTGTTAGTTCGTGATGTGAACGACGATAAAGTCAATTGTGGGATGGGGAATTTATAATCGCATTTCAACAGCACAGACTGATAAATTCAGGCTTAGAAAACAATTGCGATCATGTTCTATGGGATTTTTACTTCAAAATCATATTCAATTTCTGAATAAAGAAAGATTGATGGTGAATGCAAGTTAGTAATGTGTAAGCTGCACATCCTTTGCGAGTATGTAATGAGAAACCCGATATTTGTGAATCAAATTGAACAAACTTTGATTCCATGTGTATTCCAATTTAAGTTCTTGTTTAGTGTTATTATTTCATTATTTCAGAGATTAAATTTTCCAAAATTGCATTCCTTTAGTTATTTCTATACAGTATTCAGACTATTATTTTTGTAAGGACGTATCTGCTAAATTATTTGATAAACAGTTAGTTACTATTGTTTATAACATTTAGTGAATGTTGTATACACTATATATATGTCTGCACGTTGTTACATGAGCCATACATGGCCGTGCAATCTCACATTATTTTTTCAGTGGAGAGATGCGAGAGATGTTATTAATTTGCGAGTAATGTGGTTATTAATTTGCGAGTTGTTTTAATTAAAAGTCTGTTTATGTTTACTAGACTAGTGAAGTATTATTATATAAACTGCTCTCGGATCAACTATTAATAGTGAAGTATGTTACTATGTTAATTATGTATTTTGTATCTTGTTTGTATAAAACACGATCATTTGTTGCAATTTTTGATAATGAATAAAAGAAGTTAACATTAATGATTAATATCACGTGTGTTTTGAAACAGTATCGTTACATTCGAAGCTCAATTTGGAAATCTTCACAATTCTACCATTTCACTTATGTAGGTACTTAATTGTTGGTAGAGACTCGAAAATTGTTAGTATCTCTGCAAGTCAATATTAGTGATGATTGGGAAATATAATTTATTTTACATGATTTATATGGGGCACATATCCAATTGTGAAAAAATTGCTCAAGGCGTTCTTCCCCTGGTCATTGGATACATTTTCAACCATACATAACGTGCAACCTTCTTAGCTATGATGGTACTGAAATGTTCTATGATGAAGATGATGATGATGATGACGACGATGACACGACGATGGGGGTGATTGTGATCTTTGTGCAGATGACTCTGCCAGTGATGATTATGCTAATAATCGAAACTGATGATTATTGTGATAATGTGAAGATGTTTGTGCAGATGACTCTGCTAATGATGGTGCTGATGATGATTGTGATGATACAGAAGACACGATGATAGTGGTGATTGTGATTATGCTTGTCTGCCATGGCCCAGTGATGACGCTGATATAATGCAAAATGATGGATCAAAGCTGTTTATGACGAAGACTCCCACGATGACGACGACGGTGGTGATTGTGATTATGTTTATGCTGATGTTGAGAAGGTTTTTGTGTCACTTGGGGATTCGACGGGGGATTTTTTTTCTTGGGTGTGTGGGGGGAGTAAAATGGATAGGCCTACGTATTATGTACAGTACCGTACTTAAATAGACACCCCTTACTTTTATGTAAATGTGTAGCTACAACACAAGGAAACAATCGAGGGAGGTGTTTATTTAAAAAAAAAACAAAAAAAAAAAACATACATTTATGTACAGTACTCAAATAAACATACCTTACTTTTAATGTAAATGTGTAACTTCAACACAAGGAAACAATAAACGCCCAGGGTGTTTATTCGAGGGAGGTGTTTATTCAAAATGAGGCTCTGGAAAAAAGAAAACATATTTAGATAACATGATCACATAATAACACATTTTGAGGGTAATTTTTGTGTTGTAATTTACAATTAAATTGAAAATTAGGAGCATTCATTTTAGTATACGGTATATACATATCCATTTTACACTAAATAAATAAATAAACACTTTCGAATAACCGTCTCCCTCGAATAAATGCCCCCTCGTAAACCCTTCTCAACTATAAACGAAAAACGAAGAAAAAGAAACCCCCATTGTTTGAAGGTCAAAATTGACAGGATTGGTTTATACGAAGTAACACATGCCGTAGGCCTCACCGATATTCACTCCAAGGATTTGGAGAGAATTCTGGTTTATTGCTCAAACTCAAATTATAAAATTCATTTTTCATTTTCAATTAATTTGAATTTAAATTTGTTCAAACACCTCTGGAACAGATAAGTAGAGTAGTAGGCCTAGAAGAACTTTAAAACAATAGAACAATTTATTCATACATATACCAGAACAATTAAAATAAAAACCACAAAAAAAAAAGGACAAATTCTCAAAATACAAAATACAAATCAATAAGATGTAAGAGCAGAACACCACTTTAACAGATACAAGCAAAACAACAAACCATGAAAATACTTAAATACACCAAACTACTACCAAACAAAGATGGATTATTTTATTTGATTCAAAATATTTTTTGCGCTCAGGTTAAAATATTATTATTATTATTATTATTATTATTATTATTATTATTATTATTATTATTATTATTATTATTATTATTATTATTATTAATTATAATAATAATTAAATAATAATAATAATAATTATTATTATTATTATTATTATTATTATTATTGTTATTCGGTTCGTAATGGCTAACGAAACGGGGAAAAAATCGTAGGCTATTAGTGCTAAAGAAAAGAAGTGCTTCTAAGACGCGCATCGAAAACGTTCTACGAATCGGATTCGGTGTCAATCTACCTTAATACTAAAATGCACATAATAATAGATATCAGTTTTATAATTTGAATTAAAATAAGTAATAGTATTCAGCAAAAGTGATCTGGCCACAGTTCTGAAGGCGGCCCTGGTGAACAGGAGCTACCTGGGAGTATGAGTCGCTCAAGTCATCGGTTCAGGTATAGGACTCGCCGTTGTATACAATATTGTAAAACGGGAGCTGCATGGGGGATGAGTCGCTCCAGTTTTGGACTCAACGGTTGTATACTTTTCGTTTGTCAGCCTTTCTACGCTGAAGATCATTATTACATATATCACCGGTTACGTTCATCGTGTAGGTTTTGTAGAATTAAACATGATGATGATGATCATTATCATCATCATCATCATCATCATCAAAATTACATAACTGTAATTATTTAATTATCCATGGAATTAAATGTTTCATCTTTCAGCTCATGACAGCAGAAGGCCTATCTTTAAATTGGACCCCATTGGAAATGAGCTGGACTCCGGCCCAATGTGCGTTCCTGATCACAATTCACTTTATATCTTGCTCGTGCGTGTTGAATTAATTCAATTCAATTCAATCAGTCAGTCAATGAATATTATATCATGAAAAAAATGTTTTTTATGAAGATATAGTTATAGTATTATGTTTACTGTATTCATCCTAATAAAATTGAGTAATCTTGAAAAAAAAACTAAGAGAACACTTTACCCATTGATTAAAATGTTAAACCAATTGAATTGGTAAAATAGATGAATGGAAAAAAGTCGATGAATGAAAAAGAAAATGTAAAATTAAAGAATCCTATTTATCTTTTTACTATATAAATATATGACTTGTTAATGTATAAACTATAAATATTTATTTCTAATTTTGTATATTTAATTTAATATTTAATTATAAATTTAAAAAATATTGAATTTAATAATTCATTTAGTTTCATAAATATATAATTTTTTCTGTTATATAAATATTTATATCTAACTTAATCATATATAACTAATTTAATATTTAAGTTTTTATTAGCATCGATATGTATAAATTATAGACTTAATATAATAATGCAGCGCTTTATTAATTTATATTTACTGTGTCTGTCGTTTTATGTGATTTTTTAGTAGGTCGGTTAATCATGTGTTCTAATGAACTAAAGTTTGTTGGTTCGAAGCGCTTATATATAGGTTTTCAATTTTTTTTTACAATTTTAAAAAATTATTTTTGTTCAATTTTATGTATCTTATTTATTTATTTATTTGTTGTTGCTACAAATAAATATTCTATTTATTTAAAAATTTCTATCTAATTAGCTCTTCTTGACGGTTTTTCCCGTATTCAAGCAAGCGTGGAGGAACGCGCGGACAATAAGCGGTCGCTCTTGCTTCTACATACAACCATAGGCGGCGCTTCGCAGGTAAACAACAACACATCATGGAAGCGTGGAAGTTACCTGAACCCTGAACATTTTTACCTGAAAAATGTAAGTAACTGTAGGCCTATATGTAAAATATTGCTTAATTAGTTAAACCAACTCTGATTTTGCCGACTATAGCGTTTATTCGTACAGAGGGTATGTGTAGAGTAAGTCTGGACTGATATAAATTTATTGTCGCTTTTTTGAGGCCTAGGCTAGCCGGCCAGGTCTTCGATCCTAAAAGGCCCTTCCAAGTCGTGATGCATGCACAATACAGTACTGTACAGTACGCTCGCTTATCGTTGAATGGTGGTTTGCCATAGGCCGGAAAAATCAGTTTTACAGAACAAAACATCATTTAGATTATTTAGAGCACATAGAGAAAGAAGGTAGTCCTAGCTAGGCTATTTGAACTTGAATTTATTCTGCACAAGATTTTGTCTTATAATAATTATTATATACTGTATGCCTAGGCCTACCTAGAGTATATTATTATAGTATATAATAAGCAATTAGTAGAGCTCCTCATAGTACACTATAGGAAAATTATTGTACGAAGGTTAGATTTAATGCTTGAAAAAATGTTTGAATGCATTAAATTTAACCTAAGTATAATAATTTTCTGTTTAGTGTACGATGCATGCTCTACTAATTGCTTTAAAAGTCAATCGCCGTCTTTTAATTTTAGTTTTTTATAACCAACTGTTGTAGCAGCTATCGGTTGCTATAGTGATATGATCAGTATACGTGTGCGTATTTACATTTAGCTGTGCGTATGCTGATTTTTGCTCCTGCAGTACGTGTTTAACACATCTAACATCAGCAGTACAATACGGATACGATGAATAGGCCTAGAACTATTGTGTTAGAAAGAACTTGTTTGTAATGCTATATTGATAGACTTTCGTCAAAGAAATAAACATTTCATCATTCGAGAGGGAATAGAGTGACTGACATCCTTTTTGGTCGGTGCATGCAGACAGGTAAAATCATGCGATGATTTCATAACTAGGTCAGGCTACGGCCTATGCCTAGTAATAGTAGAGGAGACTCGGGCGGCCTGCCAGTTCGTAGGCCTACATCTAAATGTGTTCCTTGAGTCTTTAAAATAGGTCTAGAATATTTCTATTAAACGTTCAGTTTGTTGTGTTTATGAGGGTCCATTGATTCAATGAATTCCTTAATTTGTTCATAGCTAATTAATATTGAATTTGAAGTAACTTTCTTTGGGTTCTAATTTAGCTTGTTTTACGAAAGCAATTTTCAATTACAATTCAATTTTTATCGCGGTGCACGATGTATTCGCGGGGGTGACGAAAAAATAAGGAACCACCACAGCTAAAACGGCTTCGGGGTACACTGCCTTCGTAAATTTGTATTCAAAATCAAACAAAATATAATTAAAATTTGTAACACAGTAATCAATAATTTTTTTCATTGAGTTGTATACTGTCCTCCTAGCAAAACTGCTAGTATAGGTACAGTAATTATATTTTTGTATTTGACTTGGGTTTTTATATTTTTGTATTTGAATGGAGTTTAATCTATTTTTGTATTTGACTAGGGTTTGTATATTTTGAATTGATGTTTTTCATTGGCCCTGTTTGTAAAGAGTGTCCCTAATTCAGCTTTTAGCTGCTATTAAGGAACTCTATTTTGCTTTTTCATTGGCCCTGTTTGTAAAGAGTGTCCCTAATTCAGCTTTTAGCTGCTATTAAGGAACTCTATTTTGCCGACTTTATTTTTTATAAAAATTTTGAATATTAAAGAAATAAATTAAACAAACAAACAAAGATAACGAGATATATATAACTCAAGTTATACCCAAAATACTGATTACCACCACCCTCTATTGTAATATATTTTAAAATGATAATTTGATATTTAATACTTCTAAACAAATTAGAAATGTATACAGTAATATTGAATTTCATTCATGTTACGATTTATTTTTACAAATCATGGACATAGGAGTGTGAGAGGGGATATTCTTCCTCCCCTTTCCCCCTCCCCAATGATGGCAAATTAGTTCTGGGTGTCTAGAAATCTCACATCTAGAAAACTTGCACCTCAGATCTCAAGTAATCTGCAGTGGCAGATCTAATGGGAAGGGGGGGGGGAGGGAGTGAATAGGGTGGCTTGCCACACCCCTTCGTTTACCGTGATAAAGTGATGTATCTGGGTCCCTCCCCTAGATACACCACTGCCTGAGGGTTCAGTGCTTTCCCTGCCCACATATTAATTATTAATTTAGATTCATTTATTCTGGTTTATTATCTTTTCTATAGTTGTCTACAATTTTTAATTCATCAATACAGGAAAACCTCAAATTGAAGCCCATGGCTTCTTTTTTTTTGCAAACTTTAGGAGTAAACAGTTGGGGGGTGGCTTCTTTTCAAAATGAATGCTGTAAATTTTGTGAATTTGTACTTTGAAACAATAAATAAGGCCACAACATCAATCTTTATCATTGAGTATATTTAATTGGTATTAAATCACTTAAACTACTGTAGTATAAACCAAGCTTGTTTTTATTTTGTTTTTAAAAATTCATGTACAGTATATGTTACAGTACTATACTATCTCGAAAAGAAGCTTATTATCTTGAAAAGAAGCCTATGGGCTTTTTTTTGAGATAGGATTCTTTTAGAGGCTAAATTTGCAAACGAAAGAGGGGGTGGGGGAAGATTCCATTCAAGATGGGTTTCATCTTTAGATTAAGCGCATTGGGCTTCAATTCAAAGTATTACAGTATTGAATTTGAAATGTACTCTTAGGTAAGGTGTGACTTTGTGTGGCCCAGGCTTCCTGGCTGATTAATTTGTACGTTTTTAAAATCTCTTCTTAGACTGGGTGGCTTTGGGTGACTGTCCAAGTATATACCTTCATGGTTCAAATAAGTAATGCAGACCCTCTGCCTCTGTGGTACTTAGTCTTTATATGCTTTGTTATCAAGGTATCATTTCACAGTCAGAAACTTAAAATGAGAGGATTTATTACTCTGTAAACTAAAGTATCATTTTACTACAGTTTTAGATAAAAAATTAAATATTTAATTCAGATCTGGGATTTTTGGCAAGGGCATATCTAGCAGAGGGCCCAGTCATCCCCTGTTGAAAACTTCCTATTAATATGTTTTTTGGTTATATTTACTGTACCAAGGGTTCTTTGAAAATCAGTGCTAGTCACTGAATGGATACCCCCTGGTTAAAGAAAGCTTAAATAAATATATCTGAGATTTGCCACTTCCCTAAGATCAGGGTCTAGGGAAAAGTCCTGTAAACTCTGACAATTTCTGTATTATTTTAACCCTTTGTACTTATAGCTACTGTACCTCAAAGTTTCAGTTAAAATTTACCTCTAAAATAATGGTATGATCTGTTATTTAAAGATACAATCAGTTTTCTAATTCTAGAAAACTCATTTATCTTGAGTTTTCTAGGCAACCAATTAGTTCCACATTATCAATTTTCGCACCCTTCCCCCACACAAAGCCAGACTTTGCTCCTGCAAAGATTGTATTTAAACCATCTACTGTACATCTTCAGACCATCTACATTCAGAGCTATCTAAAGTTACAGCAGGGGTGGCTCACCAGTGGGAGGAGGAGCTCATCAGTGGAGTCTGGCCCCCCCCCACCCCCGATTGGGAAGGAAACTGCAATTCGTGTGTTTAGAAAAAAAAATTACATGTATTTTCTAGATATTAGTATTTATAAAATCGTTTAAATAAAGCCTTTGAAACTCCTAAATTAATAATAATCTTGAAAAGTAGTCCATGGAGCAAATCCCATGAAAGGTACACTATTCTATAATATTTGCTTACCTCAGCACTAACCATGGTGGGGCTGAGGTAAATGTGGGCCATTTTTAGAGATATTGTGCTTGTCATTGGGGAATTTCTGGCGCAGGCATTGTTTTCAACAAGCCTACTTCGTAGGCGTACTGGAGTAGATTTTTAAACATTTTTTTTTCAACAGTATAACACTTAAAGTACTCTGATCTTAATAAAGTAGTGCTTTATAAATGTCGCATTATTATTAATATTATTTTGCTCGGAAAAATTCTAGTTGATTGGTTTTTTTATCCTGCACACTTTCCCCTTATATGCTACCATATTCCCTCATTTATTCCTCTTATTTTTTAGAGCGGCATGTTGGTATAGTAGGCAACTATGTGATGCCTTAAGAAACCTCATGTTCTGCTATGTGAGAAAGTGGATAACAACACAAGAATACCAGATGTTGGTAAGTGGAAAGATATTTCATTTTTTCTGTATAGGACCATTTAATATATTTTGTCATTTATAAATTCATAGTTTTCTAATTTTTAAATTTGTTATTAAAAATGAATGGTAAAGCAATCATAATCCATGTCCCCATTGTAAAAGATTAAAATTATCAATATAACACTTGTTATCTTTCATTATAGGGTTTTCAAATTACTTGCAGTTCAAACCAACATATTCGTATGAGTCAGCTTCATATGTTATTTTAGCACTTGTTTATTTATTTAATTTTAATATATGTTTTTGATTTATTCCTCTTATTTTTTAGAGCGGCATGTTGGTATAGTAGGCAACTGGATGTGACGCCTTAAGAAACATCATGTTCTGCTATGTGAGAAAGTGGATAACAACACAAGAATACCAGATGTTGGTAAGTGGAAAGATATTTCATTTTTTCAAATTAATAATAATATGTTAGACTTTTATATAGCGCTTAACGCCAACAAGCCCTTTAACCGCTTCGCATTATTTCCCCCGGTCATTGGATTAAACGCCTATGGAACACAAACTCCAGCTCCCTGGGGGAGTATTTTTTGGCATTTAACACTACCACCACCACCAAATTACTCCTGTGTTGTCAAGGACACAAGTTAAATGCACAGTGAGGGATTAAAACCCTGACCTCAAGGTTGCGAAACCAAACCGTCCCTACTGCGTCACTACTTAAAAATTATGATGTAGGCCTAGTATTGAGTGTTATTTTTTAGCTATGGTTAATTTGTGATTTGTATTGTAAAATTATATATTGCTGCATTTTCTTTGATATATACATGTAGTGATTTTTTATGAGCATCCACCATCATTATTAAGTTAAATAATTTAGGTTAAGAGTTGTAATACGACTGTAATATCTTTATTTTTTACTGTGCAGGATTTACTGTGATAGTGATTGTGTAATTTTCATAATTGTGGTGGCTTTAACTCCTCTATCCAAAACTAAAAAGAAAAAGAAATTATTGGTTGTCCAAACTGAGTTATATTATTATAAAAATTTCCCCTAAAGGTGGTTTTGTCTCTGGATCTTGCCCTGATAATAATAAGTAATCTTCTGCAACAGTAAAATATAATATTTTTTTCTTTGCTTCTTGTTCAATTAATATTTTCATGTAGTAATCCATTTGAGATTAAATTTTAATCCTATCCTTTTTCCATTCATGCAATATCACCTTAAGTGATACACAATTTGAATCATTAAACATTTACAATCTCATATCTGAGTTTGCAATGTCACAATGTGTAAATCACCATTCGGGAAAGTTCACTGTGAACTCACCAAGAAAGGTCTGCACATTAACAAGCATTGCCTTCGGATATATTATAGTCAGGTTTTATCAAACTCGTGTTGGTGTTGAATTTATACAAAGTTATTAAATGTAGTAATTTTTTAAATGAATGAAAACATGTTATTTAGCAATTATTTAAAATGTAGTAAAAATAATAAAAGTCCAAATATTTGTTGCTTAAATCTAATATTCTATTTTAAAATATTTTTAAATTACAGATAGCTTGCTACAGTTAATTCATCTGCATATACAACCAGACCAGCAGCCCTCATTAGCAGGCAGAAAATGATGAATATTCATTGAAATCAACTTGAAACTGCAAAACTCAAGAAAACTGCAAAACTGACACCTAATCCAGAACAACTTCTGAGAGGCATATATATCTTTCAGCGGGGCCAAGGGTGGTGGGTGGCGCGTAGGTTCCACGCGTGGCGATCGCCTATTATAGGCGATTGCTTCCGCTTGGATAATCCCAACTGTCTTAATGCGCGAAATGCTGCCGAAATTTTCCAAAAAAGTTTCGTTAACATTTATTGGATTGTATGTGTTGTTTGAAATACAGTACGCTACAAAAGAGTTGTAGTACAATGAATATGGTGTTGCAATTAGTTTTATTCAAGTCCAGAAATTTAACTAAGTCCAGAATAGGACTCAACCATTTACACTAAGTCCAGAAATTTAACTAAGTCCAGAATAGGACTCAACCATTTATATTAATTTAACTAAGTCCAGAATAGGACTCAACCATTAACACTAAGTCCATAAATTTAACTAAGTCCAGAATAGGACTAAGTCCAGAATAGGACTCAACCATTTACACTAAGTCCAGAAATTTAACTAAGTCCAGAATAGGACTCAACCATTAACGCTAAGTCCAGAAATTTAACTAAGTCCAGAATAGGACTCAACCATTTACATTAATTTAACTAAGTCCAGAATAGGACTCAACCATTAACACTAAGTCCATAAATTTAATTAAGTCCAGAATAGGACTCAACCATTTACATTAATTTAACTAAGTCCAGAATAGGACTCAACCATTTACATTAATTTAACTAAGTCCAGAATAGGACTCAACCATTTACATTAATTTAACCAAGTCCAGCATAGGACTCAACAATTTACATTAATTTAACCAAGTCCAGCATAAGACTCAACAATTTACATAATTTAACTAAGTCCCAGTATAGGACTCAACCATTTACACTATTAAAGTCCAGAATTTTAACTTAGTCCAGAATAGGACTCAACAATTTACATTAATTTAACGAAGTCCAGAATAGGACTCAACATTTACATTAATTTAACTAAGTCCCAGTATAGGACTCAACCATTTACACTATTAAAGTCCAGAATTTTAACTTAGTCCAGAATAGGACTCAACAATTTACATTAATTTAACTAAGTCCCAGTATAGGACTCAACCATTTACACTATTAAAGTCCAGAATTTTAACTTAGTCCAGAATAGGACTCAACAATTTACATTAATTTAACTAAGTCCCAGTATAGGACTCAACCATTTACACTATTAAAGTCCAGAATTTTAACTTAGTCCAGAATAGGACTCAACAATTTACATTAATTTAACTAAGTCCCAGTATAGGACTCAACCATTTACACTATTAAAGTCCAGAATTTTAACTTAGTCCAGAATAGGACTCAACAATTTACATTAATTTAACTAAGTCCCAGTATAGGACTCAACCATTTACACTATTAAAGTCCAGAATTTTAACTTAGTCCAGAATAGGACTCAACAATTTACATTAATTTAACTAAGTCCCAGTATAGGACTCAACCATTTACACTATTAAAGTCCAGAATTTTAACTTAGTCCAGAATAGGACTCAACAATTTACATTAATTTAACTAAGTCCCAGTATAGGACTCAACCATTTACACTATTAAAGTCCAGAATTTTAACTTAGTCCAGAATAGGACTCAACAATTTACATTAATTTAACTAAGTCCCAGTATAGGACTCAACCATTTACACTATTAAAGTCCAGAATTTTAACTTAGTCCAGAATAGGACTCAACAATTTACATTAATTTAACTAAGTCCCAGTATAGGACTCAACCATTTACACTATTAAAGTCCAGAATTTTAACTTAGTCCAGAATAGGACTCAACAATTTACATTAATTTAACTAAGTCCCAGTATAGGACTCAACCATTTACACTATTAAAGTCCAGAATTTTAACTTAGTCCAGAATAGGACTCAACAATTTACATTAATTTAACTAAGTCCCAGTATAGGACTCAACCATTTACACTATTAAAGTCCAGAATTTTAACTTAGTCCAGAATAGGACTCAACAATTTACATTAATTTAACTAAGTCCCAGTATAGGACTCAACCATTTACACTATTAAAGTCCAGAATTTTAACTTAGTCCAGAATAGGACTCAACAATTTACATTAATTTAACTAAGTCCCAGTATAGGACTCAACCATTTACACTATTAAAGTCCAGAATTTTAACTTAGTCCAGAATAGGACTCAACAATTTACATTAATTTAACTAAGTCCCAGTATAGGACTCAACCATTTACACTATTAAAGTCCAGAATTTTAACTTAGTCCAGAATAGGACTCAACAATTTACATTAATTTAACTAAGTCCCAGTATAGGACTCAACCATTTACACTATTAAAGTCCAGAATTTTAACTTAGTCCAGAATAGGACTCAACAATTTACATTAATTTAACTAAGTCCCAGTATAGGACTCAACCATTTACACTATTAAAGTCCAGAATTTTAACTTAGTCCAGAATAGGACTCAACAATTTACATTAATTTAACTAAGTCCCAGTATAGGACTCAACCATTTACACTATTAAAGTCCAGAATTTTAACTTAGTCCAGAATAGGACTCAACAATTTACATTAATTTAACTAAGTCCCAGTATAGGACTCAACCATTTACACTATTAAAGTCCAGAATTTTAACTTAGTCCAGAATAGGACTCAACAATTTACATTAATTTAACTAAGTCCCAGTATAGGACTCAACCATTTACACTATTAAAGTCCAGAATTTTAACTTAGTCCAGAATAGGACTCAACAATTTACATTAATTTAACTAAGTCCCAGTATAGGACTCAACCATTTACACTATTAAAGTCCAGAATTTTAACTTAGTCCAGAATAGGACTCAACAATTTACATTAATTTAACTAAGTCCCAGTATAGGACTCAACCATTTACACTATTAAAGTCCAGAATTTTAACTTAGTCCAGAATAGGACTCAACAATTTACATTAATTTAACTAAGTCCCAGTATAGGACTCAACCATTTACACTATTAAAGTCCAGAATTTTAACTTAGTCCAGAATAGGACTCAACAATTTACATTAATTTAACTAAGTCCCAGTATAGGACTCAACCATTTACACTATTAAAGTCCAGAATTTTAACTTAGTCCAGAATAGGACTCAACAATTTACATTAATTTAACTAAGTCCCAGTATAGGACTCAACCATTTACACTATTAAAGTCCAGAATTTTAACTTAGTCCAGAATAGGACTCAACAATTTACATTAATTTAACTAAGTCCCAGTATAGGACTCAACCATTTACACTATTAAAGTCCAGAATTTTAACTTAGTCCAGAATAGGACTCAACAATTTACATTAATTTAACTAAGTCGCTTCGCATTATTTCCCCTGGTCATTGGATTAAACGCCTATGGAACACAAACTCCAGCTCCCTGGGGGAGTATTTTTTGGCATTTAACACCACCACCACCACCACCACCAAATTACTCCTGTGTTGTGAGAAGCAATGCAGATAAAGTACCTTGCTCAAGGACACAAGTTAAATGCACAGTGAGGGATTAAAACCCTGACCTCAAGGTTGCGAAACCAAACTGTCCCAACTGCGCCAAACCACTACTTCCAATTATGATGTAGGCCTAGTATCGAGTGTTATTTTTTAGCTATGGGTAATTTGTGATTTGTATTGTAAAATTATATATTGCTGCATTTTCTTTGATATACATGTAGTGATTTTTCATGAGCATCCACCATCATTATTAAGTTAAATAATTTAGGTTAAGAGTTGTAATACGACTGTAATATCTTTATTTTTTACTGTGCAGGATTTACTGTGATAGTGATTGTGTAATTTTCATAATTGTGGTGGCTTTAACTCCTCTATCCAAAACTAAAAACAAAAAGAAATTATTAGTTGTCCAAACTGAGTTATATTATTATAAAAACTTCCCCTAAAGGTGGTTTTGTGTCTGGATCTTGCCCTGATAATAATAAGTAATCTTCTGCAACAGTAAAATATAATATTTTTTTCCTTTGCTTCTTGTTCAATTAATATTTTCATGTAGTAATCCATTTGAGATTCAATTTTAAGCCTATCCTTTTTCCATTCATGCAATATCACCATAAGTGATACACAATTTGAATCATTAAACTTTACAATCTCATATCTGAGTTTGCAATGTCACAATGTGTAAATCACCATTCGGGAAAGTTCACTGTGAACTCACCAAGAAAGGTCTGCACATTAACAAGCATTGCCTTGGGATATATTATAGTCAGGTTTTATCAAACTCGTGTTGGTGTTGAATTTATACAAAGTTATTAAATGTAGTATTTTTTTAAATGAATGAAAACATGTTATTTAGCAATTATTTAAAATGTAGTAAAAATAATAAAAGTCCAAATATTTGTTCCTTAAATCTAATATTCTATTTTTAAATATTTTTAAATTACAGATAGCTTGCTACAGTTAATTCATCTGCATATACAACCAGACCAGCAGCCCTCATTAGCAGGCAGAAAATGATGAATATTCATTGCAATCAACTTGAAACTGCAAAACTCAAGAAAACTGCAAAACTGACACCAAGTCCAGAACAACTTCTGAGAGGCATATATATCTTTCAGCGGGGCCAAGGGTGGTGGGTGGCGCGTAGGTTCCACGCGTGGCGATCGCCTATCATAGGCGATCGCTTCCGCTTGGATAATCCCAACTGTCTTAATGCGCGAAATGCTGCCGAAATTTTCAAAAAAAGTTTCGTTAACATTTATTGGATTGTATGTGTTGTTTGAAATACAGAACGCTACAAAAGAGTTGTAGTACAATGAATATGGTGTTGCAATTAGTTTTATTCAAGTCCAGAAATTTAACTAAGTCCAGAATAGGACTCAACCATTTACACTAAGTCCAGAATAGGACTCAACCATTTACATTAATTTAACTAAGTCCAGAATAGGACTCAACCATTTACATTAATTTAACTAAGTCCAGAATAGGACTCAACCATTTACATTAAGTCCATAAATTTAACTAAGTCCAGAATAGGACTCAACCATTATCACTAAGTCCATAAATTTAACTAAGTCCAGAATAGGACTCAACCATTTACATTAATTTAACTAAGTCCAGAATAGGACTCAACCATTTACATTAAGTCCAGAATTTTAACTAAGTCCAGAATAGGACTCAACCATTTACATTAATTTAACCAAGTCCAGCATAGGACTCAACAATTTACATTAATTTAACTAAGTCCCAGTATAGGACTCAACCATTTACACTATTAAAGTCCAGAATTTTAACTTAGTCCAGAATAAGACTCAACAATTTACATTAATTTAACTAAGTACAGAATAGGACTCAACATTTACATTAATTTAACTAAGTCCCAGGATAGGACTCAGCCATTTACACTATTAAAGTCCAGAATTTTAACTTAGTCCAGAATAGGACTCAACAATTTACATTAATTTAACTAAGTCCAGAATAGGACTCAACAATTTACATTAATTTAACTAAGTTCAGAATAAAACTCAACCATACATGTACACTAAAGTCCAGAATTGGACCAATATTTTACACTAAGTCCAGGATTTTACACTAAGTCCAAGATAGGACCAACAATTTACATTAATTTAACTAAGTCCAGAATAAAACTCAACCATACATGTACACTAAAGTTCAGAATTGGACCAATATTTTACACCAAGTCCAGGATTTTAACCAAGTCCGGAATTGGACCAACATTTTAACTACTGTAAGTCCACAATAGGATCAATAATTTACACTACAGACCAGAATTGGTCCAACAAAAACTAAAATTCAAAAACTTTTAAATTAAGTTCTGAATCGGACCAACATTCTATTTTTAACTAGATCCAGAATCAGTCAAAAACTTCAGCATTTTGAAAGGTCAACACTTACTTTACTTAATAAATCACAAACTTCACTTGGCAAACAGTACTTCAATTCATAATCATTCATTCTATGAATGCACAACAAATGTCTGTTGTGGTTTAGACTTTCCACAATTTATCTGCTTCATCTCCATACATCAGAGTTCACTAAGCTTCAAGTACCAGTATACTGTACACTACATAATTTAAACAAATTATTGTAGTCTGTTTCTCAAAGTTCATTACTTCATTTCTATACGTTAAAATTTGACTTCCACGCTTTATCTCACATTTTGATGTTGCTGAGGTTCAGTTACCAGGGTTCAAACTAATCAGTCCTGATTTCCCACAATGCATTTCTTTGCTCAACCTTCTTTACAGCTTTGGTTTGCCCCAGTTATCCAAGCTTCCAACAAATCTGACTGGACATCCAATTGTTTATCTGCTTCATGCAATAACAAACTCTTACTTAATGCTTGTCTTCGCAAATCCACAATACACATGTGCCTGTGTTTTCCTGGAAAATATAGAGAACAAGAATTTATGATAGTGCAATTACACTATTAAATAACTGCAAGTATTACAATAATTTCATCTACTTTATAAGATGACAGCAGTCATTTACAAGATACATAATACACAGACTTATTGTTGAACAAGAAAAACAACTTTTGAATATGCTAGTAGAAGGGGGAGGGGAGAGTGGGGGATTTTATAATGTAATTCACCACGTGCTGGCAGTGGATATCTAGGATGCTCGAAATGAGGGTCCTTCTTGACAGCGCATAGGGTAATTGAGGGTCATGATCAGTTTGATGGGCACTCAAAAAAATAAGGTGGTTTTAAGGATTTTTAACTACTTGACTGTGATTCGAAAATCGGGCAGGGGATTGGGAGATCGGGTAGGGGATGCATGCAATTTTTGGAGGGGCGTGCGCACCCCCTACATACGCAATCTGCGTGATGGTACAAAAATCTGCCCAAAGCAAGCCTCTAGGCTGGTGGCCAGAGGCCGCCAAGGAAGCTATGGATATTTCACGAGCTTAGGTGAATTTTATTAGTTATCAAGTTACTGTAATATTACTTCCATGATCACAATCAATTAACTAGTATTTAATTAACAGATTTAAAGAAGCAAATCAACTTATAAAATAAATTTTTTTTAAGGAATCTAAGTCTAATCTGGTCAGTAACAATATATCTGCGTCTTTCTTAATACAGATACGAAGCGCTGCAATATTATTTTTCCAAAATTTTATACCAGACTATATTTTTATATAAATGAAATACTGTTGTAGATAATAAATATAGTAAGAAATTTATTCTGTTTTTATATCTTATTAAGAATTGCTTTTAAACCTGGTACTTTAATTGTAAGTATTAACAAATAATATTCACTTTCTTAGAATTAGAAAATCATTTCCTTACCTGTTGCAAGGTGCATAGTGCTTGTTTACTCATGGCTTGAAGATCACACAACTTTTTTCATTCTGAAATATTGATTATTTAGAAATAAGTAATAATTTTACAAATTACAATAAAAAATATTCAATTTATTTACAAAAAAGTGCCATGTAAATATGGGAAATATGAGTACAGTATGTAAATTTGAATTTCCTCTACATAGGGCTAAAGACGAAGACTATATCGAACATAATGAGTTGCAGGATAATTGATAGTGGCTTTTGATAATTAAATTAACCAAGGACTGAGGAACTACCTGGAAGGCCAATGGCAGCGAAATGATTTGAGAGTAGAGGTGGGGGGGGGGGGGATTTTATAATGTAATTCACCACGTGATGGTAGTGGAGGTGTTTGTTGGGGCGCATAGGGGCTCCATAATCAGTTTGATGAGTGCTAACTCGAAAAAATTTGGAGGTGATTTTTAACTACTTGACTGTGACTTGGGAGGGGGTGTAGGAGATCAGGTAGGGGATGCACAAAATGTTTGGAGGGGCATGTGATGGTACCAAAATCATCCCAAAGCGAGCCTCTAGGCTGGTGGCCTAAAAATGTTATTTTATAGAACCATACAGGGGCGGAGTTTGGTGGGGGATGGGAGGTAAAAAAAAAAGAGAATAAAAGAAAGAAAAAGAAAAAAATTATAACCCAGAACACCTCAACTCAAATGTTATTTTTGGGTGTCTGAACACCTAGGATAGTGTTGTCTCGATCGGCCCTACTTCCCCCCCCCCCCACCTTTCGCCCAACATTTTTGAAATCTATTTTATTGAACTAAACTAACTTTTATCATGCTTGCGGTTATTTTTCCCATTTATATCAATGTTAAAACAACAATTTTTAACGATTTGATTATAATCTTTGCCTGAGAAATGCCTGAATTCATAAACTTTGAAAGGCTGATTTCTATATTAATATTGTTCTTTAATTTTTTATGCTTGTATTAAACTTCATGAGGAAATGTCGGATTTAAATGATTCTTTTAAAATCTCATTTTTAATAACTAAAAATAATTTGATTTTTGCAACCACTGACTGGTTTGGCTTTTCTTGGCCACATACTGTATGTATGCTGTATAACCTAATTTCACAACCTCACAACGTTTAAACGTTCTTACATCGTTGTGTGAACGTTATTTTGTGACATACCTAACCACAACGTTCGCAAACGTTTTGTGTTTGCTTTGCACATGGCTTAGGTAAACTCAATATTTTTTATATTCTGAAATAATAAACAGTTAAAAATAAGCAATAATGGTACAATCTTCGAAAAAAAATATATAAAAATCTTTTCAAAAAATGCAAGTAATAACAGTGATGGATCCAGGTTACAGCAAAAATAAATGATAATAAAACAAATACAGTAGATAAAATCTTTATCATTATTAAAACATATGCCTAATTAATCTATAAATCTTTTGGAAACATGATGTGATATTATGGGAATTTAAATACATTGACCAAGGTACCCAGCAACAACAATGATACAGGAAGAAAAATCCTAACATAATTTAAAGGAAAAGTAACATTTAATGATAACAAACTATACCAATTAATTTGGTATAATTTACTGGTATTCCAACAACAAACAATAAATTCAACATCAACTATAATGTACCTTATAGAAGAAACAATCCAAAGAAGCCATTATTTCCTAATTACTGAGAACGCCACTGGAGATGTCTGTTTAAAATTTATACCCACTATTGGTCATGTGACAAACCTAGCAGAATGATTCTATTAAAGTACAAAAAAATGAGGATAACTTATATATAAACTATATTATAGACTATCTTATAATATATAAACTATATTATAGACTATCTTATAATAGGACTTTATTTATACCTTGTTTTGCAAAAACGAAATCCAAATAAACTTTTGGTATATTATTAGCAATTTTTTAGCCAAAAACATTCAAACAGGAGAAAATAAAAATAAAATTTTATTTGTAAATGTAGACAGTGTAGATGGGATGGAATAAGTACATCTTATTTTTGGAGATTTCAAGGTAGCGGCGGGCAAAATAGAAATAAAGAAACACTTGAATTTTTTTTTTTTAATTTACATTTTTTTATGGTGGCGGGTGCGATAATTGGCCAGAAATAAAATTTTGTTTTTATTCGTAATCATTATTCGTAATTATTGAAGACGGGTTCACTAAACGAGGTATTAAAAAAGTCTCGCCTAAATGGTGATAATAATTATGACGATTACAATGATGACAGAAGCAACCAGTATTTTGAGTGCAAAAGTTCGGAGCAAAATGAGCTCATGACTGGTAAGGGTTAGGGTTAAGGTTAGGGTTGTGACAAAGAAAAACCAGATTTCATGTTGTAGAATATTCAAATATTTCCACCTGAGATATGCATACATGAGTTTGCGAAATGTTCTAGAACAAAGTACATTTATCATCTATATCTACAGTACAGTATAGGGGGGAGTGCATCTACAGTATCTATTACGCTTGTCCGCCGTTGATAGGCTTTGCCACTGCGCCGTCTACAAAGTCTACATAGTTCCTGGTATTTGCAAGGTTTTAAAGGTCTGATGATCCAATTTCAATTTGTGGTCCATTCATTTGTTTCAATTGCCAGTGGTGGCACTACCGGAGGGATTTTTCCTTTCCTCCCCCCCCCCCCCCCCCCCCCCCCCCCAAAAAAAAAACCCAGACTACAGAAAAAAAGAAAAACCAAAATTCATCGGGGAGAAAAAATATAAGCCTCTAAAACATTAAAATTGTCATTTTTTTCAGGGGCTATGGCGTATTAGACAAAAACTCCTGTTTCACTTTATGGACTTGATACTGCATCCAGTTGGCTAAAAACAGAGCCAAATGTGGTATAAATATTAATCAAAATCTTATTTCCCAGTAAATATCATTCATTCATAATGGTATATTTATTAATAAAATCATCTTCACAGAAAAACTGAATTGTAAAATTAATCTTTTACATAAAATCAATGTTAAAATTGGTAAAAAGATACAATAAAAAAACTGACATTGAAGAAAACAGTAGAAGCACAAATCACATCAATATAAACATCAAAACAAAGCAGGAGGAGAACAAACTAAAAGGCTGACCAGGCCGAAATGGATTTGAATGATTATAAGTGTACTGTAAATACAATTTTGTTATTTTTTATTATTGGCTTTTCCCAGCAGTACTGGGAAAAGTCATTGTTTTTGTTCTGATTTTTTTTTTCTTTTTTCTTGCATATATTTCCTATCTTTTTGCACTATTTTTTTCTTGCCGTCACTTTGGTCACTTTTTTTCTGTGCTTTGCTGAAGCATAGGCCATATATCAAGGATGTACCTCCTAATATTTAGGATCAATCTATGGCGGGGTGTGCGTGTGAGGACTATTTAAAGGGATTTAAGGTCAAACACCAGATATTTCAAAGACCAGTCAGTTGATGTGAATGAAACTTGTGGGAAAGTTCAATCAAGTTACAAGCAATAAAATTTTTATGTGTTAGTGACTTATCCATTGAAGGGTGTAAATTGAAGGGTCTTTTCAATTTTTGACGACCCAGACCTACTGTAAATATCTCTTTAAAAAAACGAATGGGTCTAAATGAAACATTCTATAATACCTGTACTTTGTAAAGGTCTTGCAAAAAAATTAATAAATTTTTTTGTGATGATCAGCAGTATGGTGTGGATCTGAGCACCATTTAAAGGAAAACATCCCAGACAAAATATTTCTAAAAGAATCAACTGATCTGAATAAAACATTCAGAAAAAGTTTAACCAAGTTACAGTAGATACTATTATGTGTAGGGGACGATCCAGGTTCGGGTGTAAATTTGAGGGTCATTTAAATTGCTTACATTTCAGTTATAGATTGGTAAAAATGACACTTTGCAGAATAGTTTTTCATGGTGAAATGAAGAAATGATCCAATTTTGGTGATGATCCGCAGTAGGGTGTGGATTATGAGGACCATTTAAAGATTTTTTGTTGACACTTGATTAAGTTGTTAAACACAATTTGCATTTTCTAAAGCGCTTAAACCAGTTTCATCTAGGTTAAACTCAAAACTACTGTGATATGCATGAGCAATTTTTGCTTTCAGTCATTGAATCGCAATAAACTGAAAATGCACTTTCCTATGCAAGGTCAGCTCATATGGCACACAATGATTCACGATGTACCTCGCTATTACCATTGCAGACACAGTTTATGTCTCACTACGCAGTGAACTTGGTTTTCGTTTTTTTTTTTCCCACTTCATTTTTTCCACTTTATTATAGAATTATATTGGTTAGTTTTTACTTTATACCTTTTAACAACTTTCAGCCACCACTCACCCTATTAAGGTTCTTATTACAAAGTGTTTATCATGCCGGCTAAAACTCAAACTTGCCTATGTTAGGGTTTAAGTACTGAATTCGAGTCAACTCAGCCCCAAGTTAATATTAAAATAATAATAATAAAAAAAGCATAACAAAAACTATTGATAATAACGATATGAACATACTGATTTATAGGCATATCAAATATACATTATTACATATATTTATATATACTAGGCATATTTAAATATACTGAAATTATTCTCCAATGAAGTTTTTCTGAAGTCCATATTGCTATATAGTATTCGTTTCCTATTATACTTATATATAAATGATGGTTTAGATTTTACCTATTATATAATGATTTATATACATATAACATATACATATGCCTATATATATATTTAAATGTATATAAATATATATAATTTACATATAAATGTATATATGTATATTTAAAATGTATTAAGTATATTATATAATGTACATATATTTAAATATACCTAAGGATAGGTCTATAAATATTGGTTTTCTCTACTGAAGTGTTTCTAAAGTCTGTATACATATGGTATTCGTTTCTCATTATCTTTTATATAGTCGTGGCAAAATGGTTAAGTTGTCACACAGGCTAGTATTGAATAAATGAGAAAATAAGGGAGCCCAAAAAATTGCCTAAAAATCTAAATTTGTTTTTCACTATAGATCAACAGTTTTAATGTCTTAATAATCATGTCCCAAAGTATTAGTTCTGGAAGTGGTCAACAAATGGTTTATTTATGTTATGTTGATAGTTCATTCCATTAAACAATATACTGTATGCACAAATAACTTTGAAAGGCAATTACTCATTGTATTGTAAAGATATAACAAAGGCAACGATATAAAACACTATAATTTTGGCTTTGCAATCAAATATCTTTTGGTAAATATTAAGTAAATATACAGAAATTGGGGCCGATTTGACCTCTTAGGGCCGAGTTGACTACTTGGGACCGAGTTGACTTGGGCCGAGTTAGTGAAAGAATAGACTATCCTATTCAATAATGTCTAAGCAATTAGTACTACCATCAACGTTTATTAATATTACTACTCATGTGATAAATTGAAATAGAAACAAAACAAAATCACAATATAAATACCACCCTAACACTACTTTCAGAAAGGATTAGCAAATAATACAACCTGAAGAGGTGATCCATGTGACCCATAAACATCTCCGTGGGTCGCGAACCATACTGAAAGAAGGTGTTGTAAAACAACGCTCGACAACCGCCTAGCCTAGCCTACTTACCATGTGCACATGGTTCGATCTAAACTATTGTCTTTAAAACCGTAACTGCTCTCTACTTACATTAAAGCCGGTGTCTTGAAATATTCCATGTTTATTATTGAACAAAATTGTAGATTCCAAAGCAACTTACCAATGTCTTCAAATGAATATAATTGTCACTTGTTTTTCTTGGAAAACAACCCACGATATAAATAAAGATCACATGTGTAAATAGTCAACATTTTACCAAAAATGCGCTCCCAGAACAGGATTGCCAGTAGGCCCTTAACCAAGTGTCTCGTCTCAGTTCTTTTGGTAGAAAACGTCCGTGCCAAAAAAAAAAAAAAAAAAAAAAAAAAAAAAAAAAAAAAACAAACAAACAAACAAACAAACAAACAAACAAACAAACAAACAAACAAACAAAACATAACAAAACAAAACAAAAAATAGAAAAACAGGAAAAAAAAAAATAAAAAAAACCCTTAAGAATTCAATGAATCCCATTTAAAGGGATCAAATGAATCAAGTCAAAAAAATTATTTATTCACTACAGTACTTCTCAATCTTTTGTTTGTTGACCCAGAGTCTCACTGCTATTCTTGTTCTTGTTCGTTACCAAAACTTTACAAACTTTAAAAGTGGCCAGCGTCGCCAGTTTTGAACAGACGTGCACGAAATTTTGTACAAATAGAGCTAGAGGAGGTGATTTCCAACAAACGTTCACCGCCCTTATTTTTAAGTTGGACCCCAGTGATCCCTACACGTCACTTACAAAACAAAACAGGCCCGGTTTCAAACTTCAAAAGCGTCCAGCTTCGCCAGATTTGAACAGACGTGATTTCCAACAAACGTTCATTTCCCTTTTTTAAGT